TTGGAGGGCTCTAAGTATAGACTGTCTCTGAAGATCGATAACTTGGGGAAAACAAGCAGGTGAGATATGATGAAATTGGTGGGTGGTCACATGCTGAGTTCAATTTTTGTTGGAAACATCCAGTTTTCCCCAGGACCGTTCAAATACAGGAACAAATGACACGAACCGATGACAAAATTGAACTAGGCTTCTGAAACAGTATTAGCCAGTCACTAATTATTCGACTCCTGGAATGATCCACATCCAGCATCATCCAGCCATCTCTTCCCTCAGCAACCGGCGACTTCCACCAAGCTGCCGCTACATTTGGCCAGCTTCTTGGTGACTTGTGGCCAAATGGCATGGTCCGAAAGCTGCCAAACCTCATCGCGATAGCCTGCATGGACCTGGAGAGCAGAGGCAGCCGAGGCGCGATGGGATATCCTGCAGGATATCTATCATCCTCGTCATCAGAAAGAGCAGTAGCAGCAGCAAGAGCAATAATAGTAGCAATATGTAGCAATAGCAATAAGCAAAAATGATCTTCAGCAACTTGTCAGCAACCATCATTAATCATGGTTGTGCACAAGATTCCCTCGCATCGGCCTTTCAAAAGGCCTCATATCCAAGCCCCAGAGATCCCCCATCGCCTGGTCGAAGCCGCAATAGCCAGTGAGGTGTTGCCTCGGGGATGCAAGTCGTAGCCTCCATCATTGCCTAATTGAAATCCCCACCGGTTGCATCAGTTGCATCCATTTATAGAACATATAGAAAAGTATAGCAAAGTATTTTTGTCACTATCTTAGTAGGATTTTACTTTTCTAATACTTTTTCTATCGTTTTGATTCGTTTTTGATTCGTTTTGGGGGTTGCTATCGATGATTTTCCCGTGAACAAATAGAGGCTTTTCGGTTGCCATGTATTATTGCCAAAGGTCATTGGGACGCAGGGAATGGCCCCCAGGTGTACGCAGGATTGACATGCGCTGGCACATGCATGTTCAACCACTCCTTTTGCACTCAATTACACAGTTGAAAATCAAACCAACATTGCAATATTATGCAATTGCAATACTGTTTTCAAAAAAATGGTGGGCATGTTGATTTTGAGGAGGATCAGGTGTCTTTCCTACATGTTCCTACTCCAGTTCCATCTGTTTTCTCCATTAGTCGGGGAAATCACTGTCTCGGATTGCACCATCCCACATGGTCCTTGGTGTTTTTTTTTGATGTCCACATTTTTGCGTCGAAACTCGGTTCTTGCGTCTAACCGAGTTGACTCGCCTTAAAAGTTCGAGCAAGATGTTGTACTCTTCCAATTGCACTTCATGATTGATGGTGCTGCACAGAGCCACACACAGGTTTCTCCTCATTGATGCTTCACACCACTACTCTACAAAGTGGCACCCCCCTAGTTATAAGTTGGTTTATAAACCATAGCAATAGATATATCATATATCTACTATAAACATCCATAAACCATATAGTTCTTGGAGTTATTTGCACCAACTTAGTCCCTGAATCTCTCAATTCGTGGTGAACTCTTCAGGGATCCCACCAGATCCCACCAGCAATTCCCAGAAAAAACCACTGAGTTTTGCAACCGAAGTTCGAACCGCCTACGCACGTAACAAACCAATATTACCATCTGGTTATGACTAACATAGCCATGGAAAAAATCACCATTCTTAATAGGTAAACCATCTATAAATGATTATAAATGGGCCATTTTCCATGGCTATGCTAAATAACCAGAGGGTAACCGATATATTTGCCACAATTCACCGATTATTCACCAAGATATTTGCCATGAATCTCCCATGATTTTTTTCCGGCCGAGTTCACCACTGACGGCCCAGGCACTTCACGGAACTTCCCAACTCGCCAAAGTGATTGGTTCCGGTGAAGACCAAGGCACACTCCAGGGTGTCAACTCGGGAAAACGATGTTTTTTCTCAGATATAAATGTGGTTCATGTCTGGTTCATGTGTTGTTAATGTGTTGTTAATGTGTGGTTACTGTGCAATGTGTGGCTAATAGTGGTGAATAGTCGTTTATAGTCATTTATAGTGGTTAAACACATGACTTGCCCCGGAAGATCAAGTGTCAATATGAAATACAGAGATTGAGCGTCCACGTAGTGATTTGATCATGTTTCTATGAAGGTGAGAAGAACGTCCACGGTTCACATCAGCACACACTTATATAGGTGGCATTGTGAGCAGAATGTGTCAGCGTCAGCAGGGCCATGTCGCTGATTTCTTCCGAAATTTATCATTATCAGAAAAAGCGTATATAATTATTATATATGAAGAATGACTAGCTGTCACAAAATACTAGCAAGCCCAATATTACATGATCTTGCAATTAATTAACACAGCGACATGGACAAGGAAAACAAACATGATTTTCCGTTCTAAATTTGTGTACATTCACAATAGGTTGTCCATATTAGTTACAGTAGGTTACTATAGATCTCTCAAAATGGGGTACCGCCACCATTCACCATCGTATACCCGATTAAATGAGGACAAAATGGACAAGGCCCCCTTTTCAGACGCAACCAACTAAATCATAAGGTACATACTCTAACATGATATCAAGTCGGTTATATTATCGGCATGTGCATATGTATGTCTATAATGAAAAAAACAGAATGATATAATATGTACATATATATATATATAATATGCACATCTATATGTATATATGATATATCTGGGAAAATAATGTCTATAATATGTACTATGTGCCCCTATTTATACATTATTTTCCCAGATCCAGAACTCCAAATACCTCGCGGGGATTTCCATTGCCACGTTTGATGACACCGGAGGATAACATCCATTTAGGAACCCAATTTATACCATTAAATTCCCCTTAAATTCCAGCATTCGCCATCTTTTATGGCAACATGTTCATGATATATCCCCGTTTTACATCCCGAAAAACCATGAAAAACATGAAAAACCCACGTCCCAACAAGTGGCCCTGCTGCGCTACAAGGATGGGATCGTCATCGTAGGCACCTTCACTCCACCTCCGCAAAATGCCAGGCCGGGAAGGCCAGGGAAGGCGGCTTCACCAGCTTGACCGGTGTACCAGGAAAAAGGCCGAAAAATCTAGAAATCAACATGTTACAGGGTGGTGCCCCATAGTTATAGCTAAGTTTGTGCAAATATGTCCATTAATGTTTGGGTTGATTAGGGGGTTATATCGAACTAGTTAATGGGGATTCTAGACCAGCAAATATAACTGGGGGGCACCGCCGTGCGGAGATATCATCTTCCAAAAACTATATATATATATATACGCATACAAAATCATATAAATATATCCATGGGTGGTGAAAGTTTGACCTTAAGTATCCAATTAGATACTTGCCCAAAACTAACAACCCCAAAAACCTTAATTCTGCATAACTACTTGATTATCTACTTCAATCTTTTCGGTTATATATCTATGATCTACATTGATCTACTGTATCTCCTCGCAATCCCCCGGGCCGGACGGGAAATCCACCAAGAGGCTCAAAGACATGGCGGGCAACCAGTCTCCACTTGGGGAGTTTCTCCTTCATCTCCTGGGCAGCCCAGACCTTCAACAGTTTGCTGTTGAAAATGGCCATGTATATGGCTGACTAACCTACCAAACAATGATGATTTTCCATAAACTAATAGTTTACCAAAGGGATATGAGCTGTTCAAATAATGCTTTATACAGTGTGCACAGATCAAAAACCAGCAATATATATATATATAAATATATATATATATATCCCAGAGGATCCATGTATGGAATATTTACCTACATTGACCCCTAAAGTAATTTAAAATAATCCCAATGTAGGTAAATATTCCATACATGGATCCTTAGGGTATATATATATATGCCCAAAACATCATCAAACATAATACATGTATAATTAGTCCACATTCCAAGCAGGTCACTTTACCATCGACCACCTGAACCCGGCTCCCATTGGTTCACGACCGTCGCCTTTGGCGACTCAACTTAGCGCAGATCCCATGTGATCCGTTGCGGTTGAGCCGTTTAGGTATTGGCGGCAAAGAATGATGGGAAATGTATGATGGGTCCTGTTGGTATACCATGTTACATTTAGATATATATATATATCATATATATATATATATCATATATATATAATATACTTAATCATATGTTGAAAATATACACACATATATATATAATGTGTATATATAATAAATATATATATATATATATAATTAATTATAATTATATAATATATCAGTGCTATACCATGCTACACCACAAAGTTCTTGCCAATGTAGAAATTTGTTGTGACTAGCCTCCCTACAGAGCTGTGGGCCAGCCTTCTTGTAGCCTCTTTGGCTCATGTTTACACACGTCACGTTCATACAGCAGTGACTGGGAAAAGGAGTGGGGCCGCGTCTCTCACTGCAAAGATTGTCATCAGTTTCTGACCAAAATCATTTCAGGCAGCCAGACCACATGTTCACCCACTATGCCACTATGCATTGCATGCAATGAATTCAAATTTCGGCAAAGCTCACAGCCTACAGGGTAGGCCCTAATTTACGTGCGAAGGTGAGGCACCAGCCGGCTATGCACAACAGCCACCCAGGTGCCACGCAACTGTGCTTCTGGCAAATGCCAATGTTAGCTGAATGGAGATGACTGGAACCAGTCTCAAGCAACCCTTCAGCAGGAAGGGACAGAATTAACAGCAATAATGATACACTAAATATAGAAATAACATGAAATAACAATATAACAAGCTCCTGGTCTTGTGATTTCAAAAATCATGAGTCACAGCATGTCATATGTCCAGTCCAAGTCCATTCACGACCTTTAAACTTTTGTCTTCTTCGCTCTATCCTCTGGTAAACGGGCTGGTTGGAAAATTTGTTTAAAAAACAAATTTATAGATGCACCAATTCTTGGAATATGCTGCAACGCGGGGATTCCATCGCAAATGATGCACCTGTTGAAGAAATCTTCGCACTGAGAGATTTTCCAAGCCATCTCCCCAGAGGGAAGTGATCCAGTGATTCTCTCAGTCCAAGAGATGTTCTTTGTGTGCCAACCGCACGAGTTGCTTCACAAAGCTGGGGTTCGTCAAGACAAGGCCGCGTCTTTCCTTGAGACAACGCTGCTGCAGATTCTACAGTCGATTCTTTTTGGGGTTCCGGATGGGTTTTTGTTTTCCATATCGATGGATTGCTTGAAGGGAAAATCATGGAACATCCTCAGAAAAACATGATTTTTTGTGTGAAATATGGGAATATAAAGGTGTCCTGCAATTTTATCCCTTAAAGGGGCTGAGATTTACCATGGCCAGATGCGCCCGAAAAGCCACCCGGGAGCTAGGAGGGCGAGTTAGTCGAGTTCCCGCGTCCGACATTGGTCGCAACATGTCGCACAACGTCCGAAACCATGGGCGCTTAAATATGAAACAAATGGGTGTACAACCATCGGGAAACAAATGAGAATGGGCCAAACGCATGTTTATATATTCATCCACATAAATTGCAAATATTTACGCCGTTTTGTGTCATGTGAAAGTTGCCACTAAGTTGGCCAAAAAAAAGGACCACGGACCCACTTTGCCCGACATGGGTTATCTAAAAATAGGATGCCACCGAAGTTGATTGATCATGTTTTTTCCCTATGTCGCACCAAATCCCCCAGCAGATTTCTCCCACCATCCGCAGCAAATCCGCCCATGAGGCAGGCAACAACGACCAGGTGGATCGCCTCCATCAATCTCAAATGCTCTGAGTGGATCAAATACGCCTGTGCGCCCCAAAGCTGCTCTTGTCACTGATGTTGCTTGGTTTTTTCCAGTTCTAAATTGGTTAAATTCCCTTTAAGATACTTTAACCTTTATTATATATGTTATATTGATATTTGATATCTCTCTCACAAACCCTTAGTTGACATACCGTAGTGAACCAACTGAGCTAAGGATGCTAAGGTTTGGGAGCACCACTGTGTAGAATTGGGATGTCAAATGTAGTTTGGAGGCTCCGCAAGTTCACCTAACTTGCGGCGTGCGCATCCGGGTTGAGATCCCAATTTGTTGGTCAAAGCCAGTGCCGAGACGCCACACAAAGGCCTGTACTTCGATTCATTCCAGCCTGGCGATCGACTGAATCCCCAGGCTACACATTTTGAAGTGGTTCGTTTGAGCATGGATTTCCCCTGGTTTTCAGGGCGCTCAAATCCTCCGAAGCAGCAAGGTTTCCTGGCCAAGATTGGATCCTGCACTGGTTCGCCAGGGTTCCTCTGCCATAGTGCCATGGTAGCACTGCTCGAAGAAGCGCAAGCAAAAGAAATTGAAAAACACATTGCCAAAGAAATGGTTCTGTTTACCCGATCTTTCAAGTTGTTCTTCTTTCTTTAAGAATAGTCGCAATTTGAATTAAATAACAATTAGCAGACTTCATTGATGTTAAATAAATGTATATAATACATATATATGTATATCTATATATATAACAATTGTTTGTTACCCAGCACCGTATCTCCATCCATCCCTCCATCCATCTATCCAATTTGCGTATGCATATGCCGTTTCTGCCTCCCTACCTGTGTCCCCATATAATTCTACAAACGTCCTTTACCAACATATGTAAACAATGCCTAATAACTAGTAACACACACAGTATATATATATATATATCATATAAAATATATTTTAAAAAAATCATATAACACATCAGCCATCAGTCTGTTTAATTCGTTTAGCCCTCCATCCGCATCCCATGTTTCACCCCATGGTGCCCCTGATGGCCTGACAATGCACCAAGGTCTTCCAACCATTCGCTTTGGCCTCGGACACGAAGTGCTCAAAAGCCTCAAAGTGTTTCTCCAGCAAAGGGTAGTCACCTGGCCGCGAGGAATTCAATTCTTATAACATATATATTCTATATATAGATCATATATAGATCATATAGCATTATGGGGAAGATGCTAAGATTATAAAACATTAAGAGACTCATTCTTTAGCTTTGGATCATTTTGGATTTATTCATTGAGGGCCCGGATACATATGCGGGAATTCAATATGGGGATGGACTCGCCATCTTCTAGGGCCTAATAACTTATATCTCACTGAGACTCCCTGTTTGAAACTATGAAACAACACGTCTTTTGATGTCTTTTGTTTTTTTTGGTTGGTGTCTATGCACCCCAATTAACGATCAATCCGCGATGTGATTTTGATTCCCCACCACTCACGTTTTTTTTTTTAATTATTATCCAATCTTTATATCTGCCATGGGCTCATCAGGGGTTATAAGATGCTCAGAGGAGTAGATTGCCTTCAAGTAGCACATAAGATGCGGATCCTACCTGATCACGATATAAATTGCAATAACAATAATTGTTATTATCACTGTGGAGCTCATGACATGTATTCCCCACCATTCCCCCCGTGGGAAAACCATGGAAAAAACAATGCAAACAGTTCGAGGCGCTGTCGTCCGCGTCAATATGCAACAAGCGCATCTCGGAGGGCGGTACTGCACCACGCGGGGTGTAAATGCCTCAGGGTCGGTCAAGTGACTTGTTGGGTCGACATGGGTATTTAGTAGAACCGGCGCTGTCAACTTGGGTCTGGATGGCCAAGGGCTTTCAGCATGATTGGAAGATTCAAAAGAAGGGACATGAAAAATGATGGGCTGATGAAAGTGAATCTCATCTCTCAATCTCCCTTTTCGCATCCTGTCACCAAAGCAAAGAGAATCTCAGAAAAAAAAAACGAGGTACACATCGAACTTGCCGTGTTGACAATGGCTCTGATGTCCAAATCCTTCGGGCAAAATCACTGTGGGAGGGAATTTCGGGACTGGTCCTGGCCTGACTAACCTCTCCAAGCATGGCAGCAAGGTACAGTAGCTATGTATTGCCCGTTGGTCTTAAGATTGTGGGTATACCATCCATGTAAGGTCAGAGGTATGTCAAGCTACCATTCCTGCATCTGGATGGATTGTCATCAACCTGAGATAAGATCTGTTGATGTCTTTTGTATTTGACACTTCCCCAGAAAAAAAAAATACCCACCAAACAAAACCTTGGTGGAATAAAGACATGTGTTTTTTCATGCTTGAGGACCCGGGAATGGCAATATGTTTTGGGTGGTTCATGTCTTTTGAATATGGCTTCGTCTGAGCATCCAGTGGTCCATCATCATTTTCCTTATTCATTTTGCCATCAACTGGGGTAAATAGCATATGTTCAATCACACCCAGATATCAAGTTAGTCTCACTAATATCCCCATTATTTTCAGTATGTCCTTGGTTACAAAATGTTATAAATCACCCATATCAACTTGGTTACTAGTCAAATATCCCATAAACATCCCTTAAATATCCCATAACATCATAACATCTTTTTTTGTTGCATAACATTGATGGAACAAACAAATTGTGACCTCCGTCGGTCTCCCTCGTTGAAATTCTGTCAGCTCCTGCATCAGCGCCGCATCGGACGCTTCCTCGGTTTTTGTCAAAGAGCCAAACCAGTGACCAAATATGTCAGGCATTGTCAGGCAAAGATCTATAGTCATTCATAATTACCTTCTGGTGAACTAACATCATAGCAATGGAAAATCACAATTTTTCATGGGAAAATCCACTATTTCTATGGCCATTTTCCATTGCCATGTTAGTTCACCAGAGGGTAATACCGATAAATATTATTACGGTAAATCCCACCCAAACCTCCATCTATGGTGGATTTTCCCATCTTTGCCCATGGGACCAAGGCTCGTTCAAGCCGCCCACATAGAGCCCCCAGTCGCACAGCAATGCCGGCTGCGGCGCAGGGCGATGTTGCCAGTCCGCCTGCCGTAGCTGAGAGTAGACCTGGCGACGACGGAGGTCACCACTGGTCACCACGAAAAATGGGGGATTTCCACCAAGGAACATGGGTGATTTATGGTGATTTAGTGAGAAAATGGGAGAAAACATGTGTTTGTTTTTTTTTGGGGGGGGATGATTTAACGAGAAATCATAGGGATTTAAGCTGCAAGAATGGGTGAAGGACGAGCAATAATGGTGATTGGACAACAAACACATGATGATTTAATGGGGCTTTTACGGCTTATAGACAAATGTTGATAGCTAAGTTGGTGGCAATAAGAAAGTTAATCATTGGTTTAGTATAGTGTAGTGTAGTGTAGATACAGTTGCAGATTGGCTGATAAACCAAGAAACACAATTTGTGGGGGCACATGGTGGCACCAACTTGTGGTAAATCGCCTTCAGGTCCGGGGTCCCTTTGGACCATGCACCAGGAAAAAAACGTCTTTACCCCGAAAAGGGTGAAATTCGGCTTAAATGGGTCAGGTGTCATTATGTTGAGCTCATAGCAACACAGTCACTGAAGGAAATCACTGAGGACATCTACTTAAGTATCTTGAATCGGATCTCTTTTTGCAGCATTTTTGCATAATTGTTTAAGCTCATCTGGCGATTTCCATCGAACAAAAAAAAATCCATTGGAGTCATCATTGCTCGTTAGGATGAAAAATGAAATAATATTTTTTTTAGAAAGCCAGCCACTTCATTATAATGTGATTTTGCCATGCAAGACATCCGCGTCACCTTGCTCAGGTAATTTTTTTCTTCATCTGGAGACAGCTGGTTGCTGGCCGGCAAGTGTGACGGGAAGCTGCCCATGGCGCCGAGATCCAAACTGGCAAGGTGCTTTGGCAAGGTAAAGGGTCTCTGAAGCCAAGGAATTTTTATAACTCCAATAACTATGGTTTATAGGTGATATATCTGTAGCTAATGGGCTTATAACCAATTTCTAACTGAGGGGGGCACCACCTTGTACTTCTTTTTACGTCTTGAAGCATTCAACATGTCAAACGTGTCATGGCCTGGCGGCCTTGCGTGTGAAATTGGACCTATGATCACCTATCTGGGTAAATTATAATAATTCACTAACCTGAATTAAGGCCATTTGGGGATGATTTCCCTTACTAACCATGATTCCAGTGAGGTCGTAGTGAGGTCGTTAAAATTTGCCCAGACCTATTGTTCTTTTCGGCAGCGGTAGTCAGGGAAAGGACTGGCAACTGTAACAGCACTGTAACAGCACTCATCATTTATGTGCATCTGCCATCTTTTGCGCATTGCAAATTGCCATGTGCCTCAACTCATTCTCTTTATGCTGTTGCCTGCTAGCCACCTGCAAGGCAGCTTGAACTAAAGTCAGAATTCCATAGCCTTGGCGATATCAAGTTGCAGCTGAAATGCAACACAAACACTCAACGTTTCCACAGTTCTACTCGCAACAAAACCCACAAACCAAAGGCAAATGCGCCATGCGGCAGCATAGTCGTCCTTGATGGTGTTGGGTACCGAGTCGTAGCTCTTGTATGCCAGTGTCACCTGGGAGGCAGCGGACAGCTCTATAGATTCAGTGGGTTTAGCGACGTTGGAATCTCCCACAGCACTTGAAAGCCCACCATTCGATTGCAAAAGTTTGGCGGTTCAAGCTGCATGTTCTTCACTTCCCCATTCTTTGCCTAGCTTTATGGTTCCGCCCTACACCATACCGCCCCTCCAAAATTCTGGCCCAACCACTGGCAACGGGACATCCTTGTGCGAGCAACGAACACATTATTTACGTAAGTAAATTGGTAGAGAAACAAACCAATCCACTCTTACAGGCGCCCAAGTTTTCCTATACAAACAAAGAAACAACAGAACAAAACACAAGCGATCAAAAACAATACTTATCACATATATGTTTTTTCAAAAACACATTAATAGAAACTGCTGTATATAGACTCTAATGATAAATAGATAAATACTAGGTGTGTTTTTCATTTTAACAACAGATCGGCCTTGGGCCCAACATCGAAAGCATGGCTGGTGATCCCGGGTGACCGACCGGGTGTCTTTCGCTTCAAGGTGCCATCTCATTGGCCGTCTTAAAGGGTTCTTCCGTTGCCATCTTCACCCCATCGATCGTCACGGCCTCGATTAAGGTGGCTTTCGAACTCCAATAACTGGGTGCATTGGACCAAAAAAACAAATAAAATCCAATAGAATATCATAGAAATCATAAATCTAAAGTCACTAACACATTGACATGTATACATATATACACATATTATATATATATACAATTATATACACTCATACTAGAATATATCATCAACAGTCATAAACCCTAGTTGAGATTAGTTGAGCAATGTTAAGCATCCTTCACCTACTGAACTCCTTCAACTGAGCGAAGGATAGGCACACGGGGCGCCTGAAGGCGCGGCGCATAGTGAGTCTCAGAGTGCAAGCCCCAGTCGGCAGCCCCTCCTAGGGGCGAAAAGCCAACCGCAACATGGACATTTGGGAGGGTTCGCTGCAGAAAAATTGTTTGCGCCAACAGAAACATATAGAAAAACGTGGAAAAACACGGGGGTGAACGGAGAACGGAAAAAAAACATAGCAAAACACATTTAGGGATTAACGATGAGTTTTCATCAAGTACTGAGTATGCTGGATCTTAAGAATCTAAACATAGGGCATCGTCACGAGCTCGCGATAACTGTGCTGAAACCATGTTTTGAAGTCTTTCAAGCCTTTAAGTAACAAACAGGCTCATCAAAAAACCCTTAAAGAATACTAAATATCAGCCCTCAAGAGCTAGCCATGGAAAATCACCATTTTCAAAAGGTAAACCATCTATAAATGGGCCATCTATACCATGGCTATGTTAAATAACCAGAGGGTAAGTCCTAAATCAACCCAGCCCAACTCGACACAACATTGGGCAAAAACCTCCAGGTCGCCCCCTTGGGCGGTGCGTCCTCCTTTGGGCCACGCAGCTTCTCCGGGGCAGGGTTGATAGAAGGAGTCCTGGCAGTTCCATCAGGAAAGTATCTTAAAATAGTACGGTCATTGGTCATTGCATATAAAAACATTGATGGTAGTACCCTCTGGTGAACATACAAAAAGCTATGGAAAATGGCTATTTATAGTGGATTTGCCCATTAAGAATGGGGAGTTTCAATTGCTATGTTAGTTCACCAGAGGGTAATGGTAGTAAAGCAATAGGATTACTAACTCTCCAATTTTACCACTTGAATATCCATAAATTGGGTTCTCTATAGCATCAACATCTGGGTGCTTTATGATTGTTTTACTATTTTACTGACATTAGCCACAGCCAATGGAAAGTCGTTGGAGGTCACTGGATTCGTTTGAAATATACAGGAAAACCCTATAAAACCCTTATATTTGATGGTGAAAACATGGGAAAACCCATGACCCTCTGGTAAACCAACATAACTATGGAAAATCACAATTTTCAATGGGTAAATCCACTATCAATCGCCATTTTCAATAGCTACGTTAAATTTCCAGAGGGTAGATGTTCACTTCAATAAATTCGAATGAAATATGGATGTGTCTGAAAATGGTGGCCGGTAGGAAACATGCCAAAAAAATGGTAATCCACTGGAATTGGGGTACCCTATTTCAGACTAGCCCATATCAAACAATTCTATAGATATAACTATAGTTGTTCTTGTTTCATCTTGTTTTATATAATTTATATCCCAACTTATGGAGGTTTTCACCATGGTTGAAAGATATGAAAGTCACCCCAACTGCACCTTCCATTTTCGCCACAGTCCTGGCCCCAGTCGAGCGCCAGCGTGCTGATGGTGGGATGGGCATAAGCATCAAACATGGAGGCAGCATCCACTTGCCGACCGCCACCGGCCAGTTTGTTCTCCTTGGTGCCGGACGAACAATGAAACCCTGCGGTAAACTGCTCAAAAAAGATGTGGAAAACCGATGGGGAAACACAAGTCACAAGGAACATGATCTACAAATGGTGAGTTTTCCACATCTTTGTTAGTTTCGAGAAGTGATAAAATGTATAATGCTGGCCAATGCCATAAAGTTACCGTTGGGAGATGGTTGAAATCCCACCCATAAACATGGTGGTGACTTGGGGATGGTGCAGGTAGCATTGGGTTTACCACATTCGTGGCCACTTGCGGGTTTGTCAATTTTACAGGGATGGAATGTAAACTCATATTCCCAACAAGAAGGTGCCCCCAAGTTATAACTTAAGTTATAAATAGGGATAACTTAAGTTATAACTGGGGGTAGCTTGAGTTATAAGTTTCATAACTCATGTGGAAGTTATAAGTCAGATAGGAAGTTATAACTTTGTTATAACATAAACAGAAAAAAAGATATAAAGGAGTTAGCAAAGTTAGGTTTTGCATGTCTGCATTTTGAGCATCCTGTTCTTTTTTGATCTCGGAGCCTTTTTTTGGCTTTGGTGGCTGGGTTTTCTTTGCTGCGATGGCTGTGGCACTTGAAAGTGTGCCAGGACGTGCGCACATGCAAGATTGGCGCACGTTTCCATTCTTCTTGACCCAAGAAATATGGAAGCATTTGGAAGAAACTCCAGGGTTGCCGCAAATGAATCAAATGGAGAGACTGAGAAGGAACCCCGCGTCCAAGGACCCGATGCAGAAGAAATCTGCATCAGCCAGTGCCACAAAGGCTGCAGCTGAGGAGCCGCGCGAGAAGAAGCCGGAGAAGAGTCGTCCGGTTCTGAAGCAATCGGCGGCGATTCCGGCAAATTCCAAAGCCAACGACCAAGAGAACCGCGTGGCAATGTTCAGCTCCTTTCTCCGCACAGCAATGGAAACAGCCAGCAGCTGTGGCATGTGAGCGCTTTTTTCGCAGTGTCCTGGAACCCCTTCTTTTTGTACAGACTGCAGTGACTACATCGCCCACAGAACTGACCAGATTCGCTGCGGATCTGCTGCAAAAAGGTGTGGGATGCAAACATCTCTTGAAGAGATGGGGGATGTTGGAAACGCGCATGTGTTTCTTGCAAACAAACTGAAACAAAAGGGAAACGCGCATGTGTTTTTGGCAAAGAAACATAAACAAATAGGAAACGCGCATGTGTTTTTACCAAAAAAAGAGTCAAGTACAGAAACGTGTATGTGTTTACAATCAGGAGCGTAACATTTCACCTGGAAACGCGTATGTATGAGGAATGTGTTTCCACTGTTTACATGCTGGGTTTGAAATCGGGATGTCTTTCCATCAGAAACAGGAAACACGCATGTGTTTTCGGGGAAAAAGTAGACACACGGTAGGAAACGCGCATGTGTTTCCCAACTAATACTATCCATGAGCAGGAAACGCGTGTGTATGAGGAATGTGTTTTTTTGTGTTTGTGGATTTACGGTGTTGCCGTAGCTTTTCAGTGTCTCAAAGAGACTTTGGCCTGTGGTGCACTGCGTCTGAAAGCTCTCTGCGCACAATGGCTACCGTGACACCTGATGTTGCTGCAGTGGACGGGGAGCTGCAGAAGGAAGTTTCGACGGGAGGTGCGGCGTCTACGGACGAAGCCGCACTTGCAACCGTTGATACTCAATGATTGCTGCTGCGCCTTGTCGAAATGATCAATGCGACGCCTTTTCTACCTGGAGGCTTTGCTCTCATCAACCCCTTTTCTGCTGAAGAGATCGAGGCAACCACAGGGATTCAAGATAGTTGTCTCAGCTCGCGATGCAAGTTCAATCTTTTTGAACTCAAAGAAGGCGACGTCCTGCTTTGGAATCCTCATCGCACTGAAGCAGCAATCATCAACTTCTTCCTGTGCCGCCACGGCCAACTCCTCTTGCATATTTCGAAGCTATTGCTGCGCACACGAACAGCCGCAACCAGAATATTTCAAAGGACCAACGAAAAGACTTTTGTCCACTGGGCATCACTGCCCAACGCATGTCTGCCCACATGGATAAGCTCCAAAGATGATACTTTCATTGTTTTACCTTGACATGCATGGCTGGAGCATACAAAAAAATGCCTTTCGCTGCAAATCTTAACTTGGCACGTCGATTCCCATTCCCTACTTGAAAACGCACAAATCATACTCTGTAAAAAGATACGAAAGATATATCTTAGTTATAACTTATGTTGTAAATTCTCTAAGATAAGTTAACATAACTTCAAGTTAACTTCCATAACTTATTTATAACTTGCATAACTAAGTTATAACTTGGGGGCACCTTCTTGAAAGTAACATGTGATAACATGTCTGGTTGGTTTTTAACCATATTGGAAAATATTAGTCAATGGGAAGGATTATCCCATATATTATGGGAAAAAAAATGTGTGAAACCACCAACCAGCATGTATATAGTAAACATCGGTCTCAAATACCTTTGCCAGCATTTGACAATGGCCCATCGCCCATCGCTCCTTCTGTAAATGACCTGTTCATATCATGTCTGTGTGACTGAACTCCTATTGAAATGATAAGCCATTTGGCCCCGAAATGCTACACAGTATGCACATATGACACCTTCCAACATACCTTTGTGAGCTGTGCCAAGAAGAAAACATATCTATAAGCCTAAGCCTAAGCATGATGTTTTGACACGTTTCAGGTTTAACCTATTTAACACCCCACCCCCTGGTTCAATCCATGCTTTCTCCGTAGGATGGTGGTTAAATCATTAAAAATCAGCAAATTCCTATAGTTTTCCCATGGTTTCCCCATGGGGAAACTGTCCTCCAAGTGTCTGTGTAAGTTCGCAGGCCCCGAAAGCAGTGGTCCGCCTGATTCAGGTCCGGCATGGCGGGCCGCGACACCGCCGGGGCGCCGAAGGTGTACATGGACTCGGCCCAGGCAGCAGGCTGGCTACGGGGCTGCACCAATGACTCGGGTTTACTGTAGAAATATGCGATATATATATATATATATACATATATATATTATGTAATATTATATGCAGAGTTTATAGATAGATAAACAATCATAAATAGAGATAGGTACATGGAGTGGATATTATATTTTCAACAGTTGAATTGAATGCACCACATAACATCACATAACTAGGACTGCATACCAACAACAACGGTGGTATAAGCTATGAACCGGTAGGGAACCATCTTGGAGGTAAACCGCAACTGGGCCAAAAACAATAGTGAGCCATAGGAAGGAGATTACTTATCAAATGGATAGTTCTGACAAAATTAATCATATACATAGATAATCTTATGGGTTTGTTTGAAACTAGGCCACCCCCAACACCTGCGTTTATCATCATTTCAGAGGTATACTGTATACCATATTTTCAGACTCAGGGGGGAAGCCCTGTTTCAGCTACCGGCTTCATTCTTCGTTTCATCTTGGGGCCCCGGAGTCTCAAAAGAAACGCCATCATACACATCAACCAGATTGCAGCATACGTGTGCAGCTTTCCTGGTCAACATCTCCGAAAAGATCAAGAGAACAGAGGTGAGTTGACTCTATATAACTTTCTTTGATCATTGCTTAACATTTTTTCCATCTACCTAGGCCCTCCAAAATATCCCCCAAAACATGGTAAAAGTACCAGAACTATGTCACTGCCCTCCGATAATCAAAGGTGGCTAGCTGGGAATTCATCGATTTGGTTCGTTGATTTTTCCAGCTCTAAACCTACGTTTAGTTCGGGGGTTTCCCATTTGAAAGCCCATTCAATCACCAGTCTTAATAGTAAAAGCCATTGACTCACCATTTTTCATAGGTAAAACCCATTAAATGACCTTTTGTCAAATAATAATATAGGTAAAAACCACTAAACCTCAATCTTTAAAAGCCAAGCGACAGAAATCACGGCAGGCACCTTCTCCTCTCGGCTCTTAGAACGGTGACCTCGCTGGGTGCCGATGTGTTGCCAAGGGCGTGTGGCTTTCTTCAGCCGAGCAATGGGTAAAATGGCCGACATTGGACAAAGTTTATTTATAGTTATAGTATATATCTTTAAACATGTGTATAATTAATAGCTATATATATATATGATAATTTATATATTTCAATAGATTGGTTGAAGGGAAATATATTCCAAACAAATTGGTTGAAGGGACGTTTACAGGAACATCAGGAAACCATTGTTTTTTTCCAAATTTGACGGTTTCCTGTGAATTGGCCATTCTTCCAAATTTGGGAACCATTTTTGTGAGGTCGCTGTGGGGCTGCTTTATTTTGCCCAGTGACAAGAATAAACGAGACACGTTAAGAGGGGATGCAGTTCTTGATTTTGATCCATTGGATATATCGTTAGGGTAAAAACCAGCAAACCATCATGTTTTTTGGCCGTGGTTTTGGGGCAAGCAATTTTTGACCCATCTATAGACGATAAATGGGAGATGGCTACCAAACAGTGATCGAATCCATGAGAGCTTCGGGCCCACAAGCTATGCCATGCTATGCCTCAAAATCCAAAACTGAACTCTTGACCCATCCGGGGTGAGGACTCATCTCCACTCTGCGCTGCAAAAGTTCCAATCCTCAGTGGGTCACATCAGGTCGAAGTGGCGCAGTGATGCACCCACTGACCATTAGGCTATACAATATATATAGGCATGAATATATATATATATATGTATGTATGTATGTATATATATATATATGTATGTATATATGTATGTATGTATGTACGTACGTACGTACGTACGTAGGTATGTATGTATGTATGTATGTATGCATATTATTACATATACATACAAATATACATAATTATACAAAGATATATTCATAGACATATACATGTTGATTACTTAAACAATAATATGATGTATACATATATATATAATCATTTTTTGTTGCGTATATTACGTTATATATATTATAGATATGAATGTGCAGGTTGCATATATCTAGATCGTATGTCCATTTGTCATGCTGTAAGCCCAGTGATGAAACATCAGTAATTAAACAACAACACCAACAACAACCCAAGTTCTACCGCCAAGGATCGCATCTGCTTGCCCTCTTCATCATCAAAGCACGCTTCAGCACGGCATGTAGCATCAGTGGCCTCGCGGCAAGTGAGGCCCAGCCGGGCCAAACCCATGGCCAGGAGGGTGCCCGATGTAAATGCCAAAGTCAGAGGTGTGAAAATGGCTGGCCAACGAATGTTTATTTCCCAATTCCCATATGTTATAATAATAGGTTTTCAACCATCCCCCTAGGTTCAACATACTTTAGCCATGTTCAATAAGCTTACATGAACTCTGGTGCATACTCCTACTGCCATGCCCTGGCACTCACACAGCGTCCCCATATGACTTCCCCAGCAGCTAACCCACCTGCACCCGTCCAAAAATGAAAAGAAGCGCCGCAGTGGCGCCAAAACGCGCCATTGGAGGCATCCGAAATGGTGGGTTTTCCTTCGGAATCTCCAGGCTTCAAGCCGAGGTCAGCTGCGCGCGTTGGTAACAAATATGGACAAACACATGGAACATATTTGGAACATATGAAGCTAGTGGCCTTACACAAGTCAGCAAATCACAGGACATTGGTGCGATCGTTTGTGTGTTTTGGTGGGCTGTGATTTTGAGTGCCACGACATGCCACGACCTGAAAAACTCACATCATCCCACTGTTGCTGCGCCATTTTGGGGCGATGGACGGCCAGTTCTGCAGCTTCATTTCTCAGAAAGAAGTGGGTCATCTCTTCAGCGATTGTTCCTGGCGCCGTTTCAGAAATCTGCAGTGGATCCTGGTTGGTTGGTGGTTGAGGCACCCTCTATATGAAAGTCAAGTGGGATCTTCCCAAATCCGGTTGAATTTTTGGAACTGTTTGACACCATATGACACCACTAAATTTAGCTTTGGCCAAGTTTAGCCACACAGTATTAGAACATGGAGTTGTATCATAGGAATTGTCGCTTATTCTTGGGATATCTGGGGACCACCCCCAATATTTGTAAAGTGGTGGTTGGTTCACCTGTCCAGCGAGGTGAACATGTTTTTTTTCAGCATCCATCCAGTTCCTGCTGACAACAGCACCGGGGGTTGACAGTTTGGGAATCTAAACCAGAAATGCCTTCTGTTAATTCAACCTGGACATGGGAAGCCACGCTTAGAATGTTTCATCTCTACAACTATGAAAAGGTCATTGCTATGTTAGATTGCCAAAAGGTACAAACCGAGGGAACTGACCCGTTTGCTGGATACACCTTGGAACGCCAACATGGATCTCTCATCCAAGAAAGCGTGGAACCATGTGGAACCTGAATTTGTCAATTTTGAAGCTCACGTTGGATAGCAGGGGTGCCTGACATGCGTTTGGAGTTTCAGGTATACTGGCAGCATGTTTAACCCCACGTAGCTGGGATTATTCATGGCCAGGGACAATGGATCATTTATAGGTGTTTTACCTATCCAAAATGGTGATGTTCCATTGCTATATTCATGTATCAAAGGGTAAATCCTATTATACCGTAAATTAAATATAGTAATTAATATCCCATTATAGTCCTATAAATCTATTTTTTGTTGGTTAAATCCCATTAAATTCCCATTTTTTCTGGTTAAATCCCATTATATATATAAACCACATGTTCTGTTAGTGAAATTTTAGTGAAATCCCATTAAATCCCCATTACCACTTTGCTTCAAGCGTTTCGCCGCCATCGTGCCCAGGGTCTCAAGATGGCCATGGTCAAATTGCCTCTGCAAGACTGTTGACGAAGTTCGTGTCGTAGCCAACCAGAAAGTTGTGCTGGCTGAGCTGTGAAGCGACCTGGGCACATAGTCCATCTCTATCTTTGGATACAAGGTGGTGCCCCCCTCAGTTAGAAATTGGTTATAAGCCCATTAGCTACAGATATATCACCTATAAACCATAGTTATTGGAGTTATAAACCGACTTAGCTATCTTGGGACCACCTTGTAGTACATGCTTGGATAGTTATGTAATGTTGTGCGCACATTTGTGATATGTTTGGATGGAAAAAAAACAGCATGTACACAAAATAATGAATGGTACACTAAATGAACATGAAACTGGGAATATGTTTCGACTGGAAAGATGGATGGTACAGTAAATTACATCGTGTATTGATGTTGTAGTAAGATCGAAATGAATGGTAATGATTTTGTGATGAACATATGCTGGATAATCAACAATATAAGTTCAAACCCTTCTGAGCGGTCGTATCCCCAATTCATGATGGTTGAGCCACTCGTTTGTTGAATTATTTTTTTGGTGCCCCCTGGATCAAATGGAAGCTACTGAGCATGACCAAATATGTGTGGGTCGTTCGGTATTTTGAGCTATGTGTCTGAGCTAGTATGTATGTATGTATGTAGGTAGGTAGGTAGGTATGTAAGTATGTATGGTATGGTATGTATGTATGTATGTATGTATGTATGTGCCAATGTATGTATGTATGTATGCATGCATGTATGTATGTATGTATGTATGTATGTAGCTATGTAGCTATGTAGCTATGTAGCTATGTAGCTATGTAGCTATGTAGCTATGTAGCTATGTAGCTATGTAGCTATGTAGCTATGTAGCTATGTAGCTATGTAGGTATGCATGTATGTATGTATGTATCTATGTAGGTAGGTATGTATGTATGTATGTATGTATGTAACAATGTATGTATGTAACAATGTATGTATGTCTGTATGTATGTATGTATGTATGCCAATGTATGCATGCATGCATGTATGTATGTATGTATGTATGCCAATGTATGTATGATATGTATGTATGATATGTATTGTATTTATGATATGTATTGTATGTATGATATGTATGATATGTATGATTTGTATGATATGTATGATTTGTATGATACGTATGATATGTATGATATGATACGTATGATATGTATGATATGATATGTATGTATGTATGATATGTATGATATGTATGATATGTATGATATGTATGATATGTATGATATGTATGATATGTATGATATGTATGATATGTATGATATGTATGATATGTATGATATGTATGTATGATATGTATGTATGATATGTATGTATGATATGTATGTATGACATGTATGTATGATATGTATGATATGTATGATATGTATGATACGCAAGATATGTATGATATGTATGATGCGTATGATATGTATGATACGCATGGTATGTATGATCTGATATGTATGATATGTATGATATGGATGATATGGATGATATGATATGTATGAGATGTATGAGATGTATGGTATGTATGATATGTATGGTATGTATGCATGTAATGTGATGTAATGTGATGTAATGTGATGTAATGTGATGTAATGTGATGTAATGTGATGTAATGTGATGTAGTGTGATGTAATGTGATGTAATGTCATGTAATGTCATGTAATGTCATGCAATGTAATGTAATGTAATGTAATGTACGTACGTAGGTATGTATGTATGTATGTATTATGGTATGGTATGGTATTGGATGGCATGGTATGGTATGGTATGGTATGGTATGTATGTATTTATGTATTTATGTATTTATGGGTGTGTATGGTTCTAAATGTATGTATATATATATAGATATGTGTGTGTACGGGTTTTATAAATATACATACGTATGTATATATATATATAAATACATATGTTATGTATATACATATCGCCGTCTGGTTAAGTTCAGCTAGGCTGACGGCAACTCTTAATCTTAATTCTTGGATTCACTCTTATAAAGGGAGAAAATCCCTCTGCTTGATCGCCATATCATAGTTTCCTGGAACACAATACATTAAAAATAAATCCGGCCATTAATTATATCCCCATTAGATACTATCATGCTATACATCAAATCATATCCCCATAATTCCCCATTGCTGTTGGTTCAGCCCTTCAAAGCTATTGAAAATCGCCAAAGGGCCATCCAATAACAGCAGCGCCCCATAGTCGTTTTGATGTCGCAGCAATCTCCCAGCAGCCTGTGACACTGAGCGGTAAGCCTCAGCCTCGTACCAAGCCGAGCCGTTGTGGCCCTCGTATTCCATCTTCAGTTTCCTCAGTTTTTAGGTAGAAAAACATGGAGAAACCGAAACATAGCGAAACAACAAAAAGGTGGAGGTTGAGAAAAGGCCTATCATAGGGCTGAGATGAGATGTGAGAGGTCACATTTAAGTTGGAGTCAAAGATTCTCACCGACAATGATGTTTACCAAAATCTTGGTAATGATGAGAAGTAGTCGTTATCGAATACTGTATATACAGTATATATAAGTTGTATGATGTGATGCATGAATAAAACCATACTTCAAATAAAACGCCCTGATGGAATCAACAAGTCAGTCAGTCAGTTCGACAAAAGCGGAGGTCCCCCAAAACATCGCAAAACAATCCTTCCCCCAAAAGAAAAAGATTCAATTTGAGCCCAGCTTCACTTCGGTGTCCATGCTTGGAAAAGGCACCCCCACCACCACCACAGCCCTGGCCGCATCGTCCTTAAAGTCCGCCCCCTCGGCACAACGGCCACGCATCACTGCCAGCAGCACGGCGCCCTCCGGCTGCGCCGCCAGCTGCCGGTAGTGGGTGACCAGGCTCGCAGCAGCTTCGCTGCTGAGACCGGAGCTTTCCACCACCACCTTGGTTGGTGGGGGGCCAGCCACCTGCAACTTGAGAAACATGCTGGCCGTGGGGGATCATAGGGATCATCATCCAATGAATGGAAAAAAACATGCTTGAAACCATCAACTAGAGGGGGAGTGGATGGGGTGGATGGGTCGTTGAAGGAGAAAGCAAGACTACAGCAACCAAAAATGCGGGACAAAAATGGAACAAACACATTGTTCTAGTTGAAAAAACATGGAACAACGTGCTTGGCCGAATGGAAGCTACAAATTTCAGTGAAAGAATTTACATTGTGCTCAGCAGTTTGCCCACCGCCAGCAAAGTCACTGACAATCCGCGAGTAGCATCACCGGGCATGCCATAGCCCACTCACAAAAGCGTGCTGCTTCAAATAAGAACATCAAGCTTGCATGGGTTTGTCCAACAATGGTTTGTATTCACTATGGTATGCCCTAAAATGATTGGCACTTGCTAATCTCTCATCATATTCCTCATATAAAATTGCCAGGCTGCCATGACATGAAGAAATGGTGGTTTATATGATGGTACTTGCCCACTTTCAAACCCAACCAAATACAACATTGTTGGTGAACAAATTATACTCATACCATATGTATATATTTCCGATATAGATCCCCACATCTATTCACTAGGTCCGTCATCCATTACTTAACCCCCCCGGGTTTCCCATGAACTAATATCCATTAATATATTCAACCTTATCCCGATATAGTGAGTCATAATCCCTAGATATCCCTAGTATATCCCAATTTCCATAGTTTGTTCCCATGTTTTCAACTCTTTTCCAAATTTTCATGGTTCATATGCCATAGATCCCCCACTTTTCCCAAGATCTTCCCATTTGTTCAGCTCGGCTTCCAACAAATGCTGCCGCAGCGGCCGGGATGCCGCAGAACCTCTCCAAGCCCAGAAGCTGGTGCCGTTCCAGAAGGCCCGTGCTGCGCCAATGCGAAACGGCATCGTTCAGCTGTTCGTGGGAAGGGAAGAAGACCAGTTTGCCATGAGGGACCACCTGCAGTTATAGCCCTCCACGGTTTTATAGCATAGCTCATAACTAGCTTATGAATGCTTATGACCTTATTGAATCACATTGAAGTGATAGATAAGCTTTGTTGCAGGAGTTATAAACCAATTTATAACTGTTAACTTGTGGGAAAAACCATAGATGGCTGTAGGTGCGCAATATTTTGCACGTACATGTACATATATAGAGTATAGATACCCCATAGCCATATCAATATGTAGAATCTACATGAATCTACAGTATCATTCTTGATTCACATGAGTGTCTCATTGTTGGGCTAAATCTTGATACATATTCTATACATAGAGCATGCGGAATAATGCACGTTCAAGATCGTTCAAGATCGTTCAAGTGGGACAAGATAGGTTGAGATGAGAAAAGGGTGGACAGCAAAAGTGACATATGCAGCACTGAGTGGGGTCAGTGTGATAGTGAGAACACAATAAACCAATAACAAGATTCTAACATGTTGGCCAAACAATACAGCAATGATGCTCAGTAATGGCCCAAGTTGAATGCAAACACCTTGGTAGGGACCAAAATGAGCCCCAAAATGACTAGAACATACTGACATACTAGGACTAAATCGCGATGGCAACATTGCTGCTGTTTGGTACCTTCACCCGATCCAAAAATGGAAGTTAGAATTTAGAATCATAATTATAGGCGGTGAAAAAATGGAATCATGAACAGTGTCCATTATATATATAATATGATATATCATACATATTTCTGAAATCAGAATGTAACATCCGTCACCCTCACAGTTTTTGCCTCGAAGTGGGGGCTCGACATCGCTGGTTTTCAACCCATCCATACCCAAAGTCACTTGGGTTTCCCCCTCCCAACAATGAAACCTACATATTGATCACACCAGACCCGGCTTGGCACCGGCAACAGCTCCTTGAAGACCTTCCCCACGGCCGTAAGGTACTGCGGCAGCTGCTGCGCCCGGAAGCTCCGCGTCGAGCTGAGTCTGGGTGTACCGAGGCCCCCCCAAGGTGGTGGGAAACATCGGCACCAATGCTGAAATAAAACAAACAAGTGATCGTGGTACTGGTATAATGTACTATAATGGTATGATCATAGGCTTTGGGTATCTATGTTGTGGTCCTGTACAACTATGGGGAAAAGAAATGATCATCGAGTCCTGGTTTCCCAAATGGATTGCCCAGAGGCCCTTTTCCATGACTACCAACCCCCTGGTGGTACAACTGGATGAGCTTTCCCAGTTGATCACGGCTTGCTGAAGGCACCCTGAAAGCTATTCCGCTGTGACAAGAAACTTTTGTCCTTCCAACGAGGCGAAGGCAAAAGTCTTCAGGCGCCGGGTGACCGATGAGCACCTTGGGCCATGGCGGTAAAGCGAGTAAGAAGTCTATGGGCACAACATGTTTATATGGCAATTAAATGGGAACCAAATTAAGTATATATTATATTATATTATAGGGTTTATGGGGGGCATTACTATGGTTGATGGGTTTTAAGCTGTGAACAAACTTTTCACTTTGGGAGCTTCGTCAATTGAAGGTATACTGTAACAAAACCCTGCAGTTTTTCTTTCCGAGTCTCTGTCCAACCTCATCTGCTACAACTGGCCTGGTGAACAGAGATGTACCTTCCAGCTGGTCGGGTCAAGCATCACCGGCATCTGCCGAGCTCAAACAGGTACGGTATGGGTCAAAACTTGAGGACCTGAAGGGAACCACACAGAAATCAGATTTTGCCTATGTTTTTTTGTGATAAACCATCTGGTTCACTGAGATGTACTGTCAAAATTCATATACATCTTAATTTCAAGTAGTATATAAGCTATCCCATCTGTCCAAATCTCTCCAAAATTCTCCAGAAATTTGGACTCAGGCATGCCTGGAAGGGTTGCTTCTTGACCAAGCCCAAGCTCGCGTTTGAACAAGGCAAAGGGCGCCTGGGCCACTAGTGCTTGGTGGGTGATGGGTGATCTGCCTTACAAATCTTCCAAAGAAATCAATTGCAAACACCGTTGAAAACCAACGAAACCCAGAACGGAACTGCAAGATCCAGCTCTTGTCTTGGAACATCGAACTGTTTAAGCACATCACTGTCTCAACTTTGTATTTTGCAAACAGTCTCCGCACAAAAATCCCGAAAAACCGGTCCGCAGGTCGAGTGACACAGGCCTACGGCCAATTTTTCCAAACAAATCTCATATATTACTAGTTAATTGTAGGATGTTTTTTCACTAGTCATATGGCAATGTAGTTGTCCTATGGCCAATATTACTTCATTGTAGTTACCCTCGGATAAACAACCACATAACTATGGAAAATCAGCATGTTTAATGGGTAAATCCACTATAAATGGCAATTTTCCATAGCTATGTTAGTTTACCAGAGGGTAACGAGTGCATGATTCCAGCCAGATTCAACGGAGCGCCCAGTCGCTAGAGTTCCACTGGCGAAAAGGACGGAACGGCAGCGAGCAACCTGTCTGAGAAGAAACACCCTTGGTGCCCTGGAGAGATGTCAACAATATATATATACTTATTTATTTATATATATATATTGCATATATATATATTGCATATGTATAATTATATATATATAGATCCATATTATGTGTGTGTGTCTATGTATGCATGTCTGACTATTAATATGTATGCATATATTAAACAAATAAATAAATAGCAGTACGTATTAATAACCAACACGTACCAGCACTGTTCAAGAAACGAAAACACACGCATATCCAAATGCCACATCTGCGGAACATGAAAATCCTGGATCAAGAAGATAAAGGAGATCCAGAGGCCCCTTCGCCAAGCGGGTGGTCCACCGCGTCTGACCAGACAAAAACAATCCATGGCCCCAAGGCATTTTAGGCCCCTGCAAACCTTGGTTTAGTCTTGGGATGTAATTTTTGGGGCATTCCATTGCCAATCTTACAAGATGGCGCCCCATAGATAGCTAAGTTCGTTTATAACTCCAATTGCTATGGTTTATGGTAGATTTAGATATATCCATACTCACTATGGTTTATAAACCCAACTATAACTGGGGGGCACGACCTTGTAGATACCTTTCCAAAAAGTGAATCTTGACTGGTTCGTGAGATGAATACCCCTGTGGCAACAAAACTGCAGTACAGTGAACTATCCATCAGCTGGTGGACCCAGTAAATATCCAAGCTATTATATAATTCCAAATCATTATGTCATTCAGATATCAAGATATATCAAGTATGTCGTATGTGCTAAATAATCCCATTATAATGGCTCCAAAACTTGTATCACCATGATATACCATGATAATGTGTTACATACAGTAATTATATCACCATGATATGTTCCTATGAATCCCCAACCAATTTGCTGGATATTCACTCCTCAGCCATGACCCACAACTGCCAAGGGACAGCCCCCTGGAAGGCGATGGCACCACTGAGAGCCACCATGGAGAGACGCCCGCGCTGGCCGAAGCCAGCCTTGCTCACCGTCAAGGTGTAGCTACCTGCCGGAGGGAAAACTCGGCTGCTCCACCTGTCTCTACTGACATCAATGTGAGTTATTAATTTTGGAAAAAAATGGAAAAACTCAAACCATCCCACTTAAAATTGTCCGTGACCCCCATGATGGTCTGTTCGATGTTGTTTGAGCATTCTGGATTTCTAGATCGCATCCCACAACTCAACAGTCTTTCCTGACGTTCACTGAGCAGACCTTGACCTCCTTCTTCCAGAATTAAGGACATCTTCCGCAGGAAAGAATCCTGGGCCGAGCCCAAAGTGGAGGCGATAGGGGGGCCCTAAGGGGCCCTAGGGGCCAGTGCCACTGGTGGTGTCAACGGTCTCATCCCAGAAACGTGAAAGTCATTAAGATCATCTCAAATATGAAGTTCATAAGAGAAAACATCTGAAATCACCTAGTCAGAAAATAGGATAATATTGATAATCTAGGTGGTTGAATTGGTGAGAGCCCGCTTTTCAAGGCAAATGTACTGTTTTTTTTTGGGGGGAGTATCCTTCAGACTATCAGCCAGAGTAGTGTCTGTTTCTGGCGTTGGATCCCTTGGTAAATCGCTTCGAGGTGTGTCTTGAAGCCAGTTCTAAGTTTCAAGGACCAAAGGGTCTCCTGTTAAAACTGTAGGCTAAAGTGACTATTGTCATAAGGCATTACATACATACATACATACATACATACATACATACACACATACATACATACATACATACATACATACAGACAGACAGACAGACAGACAGACATTACATACATTACATACATTACATACATTACATACATTACATACATTACATACATTACATACATTACATACATTACATTACATTACATTACATTGCATTACATTACATTACATTACATTACATTACATTACATTAATACATACATACATACATACATACATACATACATATATATATTATAGATAGATTAAATAAATATATACCCTGTCACTCACAAAACCTTATTTGCAAATATCTTATATTTCCGTGTAACTCCCATTATTTCCTTGAATTATGAGGGTTTGCGCATACATGGATTAAAGGGAGGTTTGGTCAGGCCATTTGCCAAGGTGCCATCTCGTTGACCGCCTTAGGCATGGCCATGGTAGGTTCGACATAGGAGCTTCAAGCAATCAATAAATGGCGAGTAAATAGCTGGTTTAAGGGGGGGTTCATGGGATATTCATGGGATTTTCATGGGATATTCATGATATCTCTCTTGGTAATTGGAGACACTTAATGGAAAACAACCCATTTAAGTGGGATGATTCACCTGGATAGTACAATGATGATTTTCCATAATTTATATAAAATTGCCAGAGGGGTCAAGGTAAAGGATCACCATCACACGTTACTACAAGCAACTACGAGATGGGGTTAAAACGACATGAATAACGACCAGAACAATTTAGGCCTGAACCCCAAATGGTAAAAAGAACTGCTTGGGAAGGCATCTGTTCACCAGAAAGCATTCTTCAGCATCAAAACTTTCTTCAATCACTCTGACCCTATTCACCCCCGCTCTGCAGAGCAAACTGCATGCTCTGGGTGCCCTGGGCGATTTGCCCAAGTGCTGAAGGGTTTGAGGTTTGAGAGGTTTGGGATCCAGACATGATGGGGTGTATCCTGCTGCCTCAGCCCAAAAATAAAGGCCTCAGGATCCCAAATCCGCCCCCCTCGGCAGTTCGCATCGAGCTTAAGCAGTTCGCTCTGAACTACGCGCTACGGCGCGCAAAAGAACAAGGCCAGCACTGTTTCACCCCAAGGCACTGAAGAGCGAACTGCCCAACCTCGGCATCCCGAAAAGATTCATCGACTGGGATCATGATCACAGGTCAGGACGCACTAATAAACCATTTAAAGCGGCATCCAAATGCCAAATGCTGCAACCATCAAGCAAGTCTCCAGCTGTGTGGCCTGAATTTTGGGCTTCCCAAGTATGCCAATGGGAATAGCGAAATCAAGTCAACAAAGTACAGTAGAAACTCAAACTGCTGACCAAAGCATTTAAATAAACCCTTGACCCCCAAGGATGTCCACTTCCCTCACACTTCCTGCATCACTTCCAAACTATTAAAAAAAAGTAACATAACTTAACTAATTAATAAGAAGTAACCTTGGCTTGATTCGGCCTTCATGCCAGGTTGAAACCCTGAAATGGGGACTTGTCATGCACCGTTTGGCAAAGGTATTTTAGTACCCACCCTCGTCCACATTGGTCCTGCCTTCTAAGCCGTGGTCAATGAATCGGCGTCGCAGCCCCTGCAACATGCGCAAGAGCTTCTGGACATCCGCTGTGTTTTGCAGTCCTTGGAGTTGTGCCCCCCAAGGCCCAAAACCAGTGGGCACGGGAAATGAAAACATCAGAACAAAGACAAAATAGATTGCCCGAGAGGTCAGTGGATTTCTGTAGCAATTGCTTGGATTTGCTCAAGGAGCCCATGAAAAACGAAACATATCCAGAATATTCCCAGAATAGATTCCCTAAATACTGGATTAATCAATGCCAAGCATCCTGCGACCTGCGACACCAATGCCTCAGAGTTGCTGCATGGGAGGGGCGAAGCCCGAACAACACCCAACTCAGGTTCAAAGAAGGCAAAGTTACCATCAACAAATATCAAAAACACAGGGAACTCTAACAGTTAGGTCATTTCCAACAGGAGGTCACCTAGGTCACCTTCCACAAGGGTTCCATAGACGCCATATTAATTGTTTTTCACGGAGGACACTTGATGTATATTGTCCCTTTTGTAGCCAAACATGGCTATAGCTGGAAAAAGCACCCAGCTTTAGTTCAATGTCGTGTTCACTTTAAAAGTCTTTAAATACATCGACATGCCCAGAGGGATTTTGCAGTCAGCCATCTTTGATTACCGGAGGGTAGGTTGACGAACCACTGCTTCAAACTATCCATCCTCCCTGCGAGGCACTAAGCAACCTCGACCACCTGTTGAGCTCAACCAGCAAACCATGGAACGCGGGCAAAGCATCGACTGTAGAAGCCAAATCTAAAATACACTATGAATCTAGATCATCCAGGGATCAGTGACAAAAACTTCATTTTCAAATGTTCATCACCATGTCTGTAGTCCAGTCAAGTCATGAATTAGTTGCATGTCTTTATCCATTGTTTTGTGTTTAAACTAGACGCATGTATAAACACAATCATAAACACATCTAATTACATAGAAACAGTATACGATGGAATATTCGTAATATATTTTCAAAAATTCATCACTAAAATGGGAAACTATGCCATGTTCCAATGTATTCCATCATTTCCATCTACTTCAGGATGATGATAGATACCAAAAATATATATATGTGTAAATAGAGGTCTCTTAAAATGGGGGATCGCCAATCTCCAAGGATCATCATGGGTTTCAATACAAAGTCATGGTCGTCCATGACTTGGGTGATTTGGGGTAACCCCATGACTTATGAAACCTCCTATTATCTATTGGAAATCCCATAAATCCCATGAAATCCCAATGTTTGTTGGCTAAATCTCATGAAATCCCCATTTCTGTTGGCTAAATCTCATGAAATCCCCATTTCTGTTGGCTAAATCTCATGAAATCCCATTTTGTTGGCTAAATCTCATGAAATCCCCATTTTGTTGGCTAAATCTCATGAAATCCCCATTTCTGTTGGCTAAATCTCATGAAATCCCCATTTCTGTTGGCTAAATCTCATGAAATCCCAATGTTTGTTGGCTAAATCTCATGAAATCCTCATTTCTGTTGGCTAAATCTCATGAAATCCCAATTTTTCAATAGGTAAATCCCATGGTATATCCCCCATTCGCTCCCCAGTCGTGCCTACGTCCCGCAGCTCATCACCCATCTCTTTCAGCGTCACCGGAGCTGATGTGGATCCGTTGGCAGCAGAGGCTACCCAGTCCTTAGTGGATGCTGAGGCCAACAAAATCAAGAGGAATATATGGTATGGGTACCTCTCATTTAGGTCCCTGAAATGGGGCAAAATGGAGGTTTACATGTTTCAAGTATTAATTCATAGTATATTTAAATTGAACATAGGGACATCATTGGAATATCAGTAAGTATATATATATATATATTATATATATATATATCATTTATATTCATTTGGATGCCTACAGCTGAAGCAAACACCTCTAACTGCAATTTGGGGTTAGGTTTTAGGGTCCAAACATCTTCTGACACGGTATTTAGTACCAGGGTAGATGATAGATGTACCTAAACGATGCAAACATAAGATATGCAAACATAATCAGTCGCCAAAGGTTTCGATTTGCAATTGTTTTTCGTCACTAAAGGTGGACATAGATGTCATCAAGGAGAATGCATAAATGCTTTTAAAACTGAATATGGGCACACGCGCTCACCCGAGATCTACTGAGTACTGTAAATTTGGCAGTAGCTACACAGATCCGCTACACCTGCACCATCCTAATTTCCAGGTCCACGAACACATTTGAGCCTGCTATCCGAAAAAAAACTGTCAACTATTTCATATGTAAGTGGCTGATTGCGCCACCATCTTTCCACCTCAATACGTGAACGTTGGATATCATAATCCAATTGGGTCCTAGAGAATTGGCTCAGAGAGTTGCCCAGGGCTAGTGGAATTTGGGCCATTGAACCGGCTGAGATGAAACTGATGGTTCTGGATGGTTCTGCATGACTCAATTCAAGACAGCGGATCACAAGTTTCTGTAGCTGGAGTTCTTTTTGATCCTCTGCAAATAGGCGCCAACACTCTACCTACACACTCGGCATCAGCACATGGCTAAGGATTCAACCTTGTAGCACTGCAGTTTTCAAATCAAAATAGCTGGTATCAATGGATGTTCGCCCCCCTTGGTCATATGATCAAGGCTCCCACGAGTGGTGACATTTACCTTCTTTCATGCAATCCACTCAGAACTTAGTGGGCCTTTAGCAACGCTGATCACAACACATTGTATAAACACATTAAAACGTTGGATCAGCTTGGGCTTACTAGTTGGTATCATGGCCACCTGGTTGGGTCGCCTAAACGTGTTAAAAACGGCCCTGCACAAGTCGTCTCTGGGTTGACCAAGCACTTCGTTGTGAAGATCGGGCCTGGAAACCAAGGTTCTCTTTTAAAATCTGTCAGGATCAAAGAGCTTTGAAACCACCAGGGTATATACAAACAGCAAATAAGACTATGATGTGGAACATCCATCCATCATCCATTCAGACTGCTTTCAGACTGCATGTTGCACCATCCGATTTGACTGGCACTGGCTTGCACTCTTTTGGCCATATCAAAAGTTCCCGACTTAGCACATATTAGATGACATGAAAGCCGGGACACGATCAAAGCATATCAAAGCGATGTCTGTCAGGGTTGATGCATGTTGATACTACAAGTATATTGTTCACAAATGAGCAATCTCGGAAATTCCAGGTGCACGGAAAGGACATCAACGACAAATTTGGCAAGGTCCCATTGCCTACCATATGTGTGCACAAATATGATGATTTATGGCAAACTTGGGGGGTATCGCTCAAAGGGAAAATACGTGCGTGCGCAGATGTGACACAACTCATGCTGCACATTTTCTGAAAACCGATGTCCGTCCCTTACATGTTTAGTGTTGCCGGAGTTTTTGCAGTGGTTCTTAAATGGGTGCCTATGGCCTATGGCAACAAAGCCTGAAGCTGAGGAGTTTGATGTTGACATGCGCCAAAAACCGCTCCTTGGGATGATCCACAATGACGCCCAAGTGATAACTGGAAGGGGGGTTAGCGTTTGATCCCAGATGATCTTCGATGAACACGTGGCTTCCACTCGTTGATCCTCCCACCCATTGTCCCTAATGAACATGACTCTCTCCATATACTCTTCTGCGGTTGCCGCGCAAGAGAGAAAATTTGGTAAACGAATCACAGTGATTAAAAGCTGATGACCGCAAGGAGATTCTTCATAAACCTTCTCACTGGCAATTTGTTGCCGGGGTCATGCCCAAGATTTTGGCTGATTGACTTGGAGATGACGAAAACAATCCCCTACCTAGTATGGGTCCATGTTCTGCAAGACATCCCAAAACTAAGATTCAAATTGTTGCCTTCTCTCCATTTTATGTACTGCATCATACTGTATCATACTGTTTCCGCAAAAAATAGTGTTACACTTTCCCAAACATACGTATAATGCTGTCTCCAATCCTTCAGTGGGCATCAGCGACCAAAATTAAAAAATCCAAGCGGAACCTCTTAGAGGCGCAGCTTGGTTCCGCCTTCCGTTTTGGTGGCGGTTTAAGAGCGGGGAAATAAATGATTCGTGCGGTTAAAAAAAAACAATGAAACACATATATCAATCACCACCCCCAAAGTTTGCCACAAATATTAATGGTGTCTTCTTGTGTCTGCCACACCATTAGCTACAACACAATGATTTTTACATAATTTTACACGTTCAGAACACTTTTTCACCATGAAATCCCGTTGAATGCCATGAACCCCCAGTCTATCCCATTATAATCTCCATGAATCCATGAAATCCTAGCACTTCAACTCCCTTTACCACTGCACTTCCTGCCATGATCATCCATGAACTGCATGGCCGCGATGGCTCACGAAGCCATGTCATAAGGTGACCTCTTCTTCAGGAGAGTCCCGTGCGGTCGCGCCGCCTGGCCGCCAAGGGGATATGAGGGGTACGGTACATGATGCTACTCAAATTTACCTAATTTTCAAGAGACCCACATTCAGTATCATTCAATCATATTCAATCAGAATGGTTATGACTCATCGACTTTTTGAGTTAGTACGGCTTTAATTCGTATTGTCTTGATCCTACAGTCCTCCAGGAACTTGTTGCCATCCTGCCCGAGATCCGGCCTTCAGATTCAAAGAAGGCAACTTGACGGTCTCCTGATCCTGCTGTTGGCCCCCCATTGGAGGATCAACGTGTGGGTTGCCAATGGGGTGACAGATCTGGAAAAATATGAAAAAATGTCAAACAACATGGATGGTTTCCACATTATTGCTAAGATCCGAAGATGATAATTTATGTCATGCTTAAATGCCAAAAACCACTATCACAGTACTTAGACCCACAGTACTAAGACCAGAATTAACTCGGAGATTTCAAGGGTAGCGGAAAGGCCCGTTTGTACTCGTATAATCGATATGGCACAAGTACCACACTATGAGGAAAACTATATATAGTTCTAGCTCCAAGTTACCCAAATTCAGAAAATGTACATATACTATGAATCCATCGTACTCCAGACCTGTCTCTTTGGACCCACT